CACACACACACACACACACACACACACACTCACACACACACACACACAACACACACAAATGTATCCATTGTCCTTATCTCTGCTCCTTCTTTTCTTTGTCTTTGGTATGATCTGCCATCTCAGACATGATACCGCCTATCCCGGATTTCCCAGGACTGTCCATGATTCCGGCAAGTGAGTGAATCGGAGAGGATATTTTCTACACTACCCTACACCGAAACCAGTCCCACTTGGTGTGGGTGGCTGGCGGGTGCTCTGGTGTGGTTTGCTCATAGTATCGTCCTAATCTGTCCTCCCTCTTCTCTTTGTATTTTGCTGTCTCAAGCTTACCAACTGTACTGTCCCGCATTCTGCAAATGTGAGAGGATATTTACCACACTACACTACACCAAAAAACGTCCCACTTGATTTCAGGTGGTTGGCGGGTGCTCTCTAGTTTGGTTTGCTCCTTGTTTCCTATCTGACAACTTTTGTCCGTGGGTGGTTGACGGGTGCTCTGGTGTGGTTTGCTTCTTCTTTCCTATCAAACATCTATCGTCCTTATCTCCCCTTCTTCTTTTTTATGTTTGTTGCTTTCTTGTAACACCTCTAATTTTCTGGCACTCATATGACCTCATGCAGTTGCGAGCGCCGTAAAACCTCAACTAAAACTAAACTAAACTTTTGTCCATATCTCTCCTCGCTTTTCTCTTGGTATTTTGCTATCCCCAATTTCCGGGGACTTTCCTGCATTCGGCAAGTAGGGAATTTGAGAGGATATTTATTACTACACTACACCACTCCACACCCAGTCCTACTTGATGTCGGTGGCTGGTGGGTGCTGCCTGGTGTGGTTTGCTCCCAGTGTCGTCCTTATCTCTCCTCCCTCTTCTCTTTGTATTTTGCTATCTCAAGCTTACGAACTGTCCCGAATTTGTCTTGACTGTCCATGATTCGGCAAGTCGTGAATTTGAGAGGATATTGTAACACCTCTAATCTTCGGCACTTATATGACCTTATTGTGTTGCAAGTGCCGTAAAACTTTTACTAAAACTAAACTAAAGGTTGGGTGGAAGCAGCCCGCCTCCTAAAAATGATCGGTATTCTGTCGCAAGGGGAGTAAATCTTCTACAATTATAGTCAAACCTGCTCTTACCTACGGCCAAATGTATAAGACGACCAATTATCCGCACAAACAGTAACAACCACTTCCCATTTCCACCTTTGGCCTTTTTTTTGTTACATTATGATAACACCGTGTAAGATGGAAACCTCACACAGTCCTCTGCCGACAGCTGACAAAACCGCCTTTTTTTTCTTCACTGCCGTTTCGGGAAAAATAGTTTTTTTTTGTCAACGTAACCATTTAAAAATAGAGTGATTCCGAAATTTGAATTTGAATTCATTCAAAAACTAGTCACAGTTTAACTTAATTTTTTTCATACAAGTATGGTTTCCAATCAGACTTTTGATTTAGCAAATAAAGAAACTTGGCGCAAAAATGAAAAAAAGGCAAAGGTGTTTTGTCAGCTTACGACAGTCCTGTCTAAGACGGCCACTTTTCTCCTTGACAATGGGTGGTCATCTTAGATAATTTCGACTGTGCGTTTTTCTTTTCCTGGCGCTAACTAACACGGTCTGATTGTTGTTGTGATGACGTGTTTCTATTTCCTCAGTCTCGGGACAAAAATAAACTAACAATGTTCTCCACGTCCCTCTCTTTGCAGAAAACCCATTCCAGAATGTTGTCAAGGAGCTGGAGGTCGAGGGTAAAAAATTCACCTATTTTGACCTCGCCAGTCTCGGGAAGGAGAAACTCGGTACGTTTGTTGTGTCCTTTTTTATTTCACCATTTCTTTTTTTTTTTTTAACATTAAAACATACACCAAGGATGTACGATGCCAAAATAAGTATGACAAAATAAGTATGACAAAACAAGACGGAACAACCTAACAATGTAGAAAGACAGAAGGAGAAACTCGGTACGTTTGTTCTGTCGTTTTTCGTTGCACCATTTCTATTATTATTTTTTTTACATTAAAACATGCACCAAGGATGTACGATGCCAAAATAAGTACGACAAAATGAGACGGAACAACTAATATATATGTAGAAAGACAGAGGAATAGCTTAAGAACTCAAAAAGTTAGAATTTCGACGTGTCTGATGTATGGCCTGTAGTTCTGTATGGGAGGGAGGCCTGTTTATTTTATGAAAGGAAAATAGAAGACAAGAATTCAAGCAGTAGAAATTTATGTGGTTTTATAGAAGACTGCTTCGTGTCGAATAGACGTATATAAAAGAACAAATGAAAGTGCTGAGAAATAAGAATAACTTGATGCTCAGCGTGTAATATGCTTTCTCCTGTCAGCTTTACTATCGTCGTACATCTGTCGTCCTTATCTCCCCTCACTGTGGGTGGTTGGCGAGTGCTCTGGTGTGGTTTACTTCTTCTTTCCTATCAAACATCTATCGTTCTTATCTCCCCCTCCTTCTTTTTTATGTTTGTTACTCTCTTGTAACACCTCTAATCTTCTGGCGCTCATATGACCTAATGTAGTTGCGAGTGCCGTAAAACCTCTACTAAAACTAAAATCTCCCCTCGCTCTTTTTTGTGTTTGTTACTCTTTTGCAACACCTCTGATCTTCGGCACTTATAATGACCTTATTGTGTTGCAAGTGCTGTAAAACTCTTACTAAAGCTACACGCATGATCATTAATTGTGTAAGACAATAGTATAGTTGCTCTGTAACGTTTATCTGTCAGCTTCACGCGGGAGCGGCCGAAGTCCGCGCTGGAGTGATCAGAAGTTATGTCAGTTGTGGGTGTCACAGTTTATCTACCTCAAGTGTACATGTCATCTGATTAGGAACAGGATAACTTTGTCACTCCCTGAAAGGGTGGTTTGGTTTGTTTTTGTCACTGTTTGAATGGAGTGTGACAAAACTGGTTTAGGGAATCCGGTTTTTTTTCAGGGGGGGG